AAAAATTGTTGGTATGTTCTTAAAATGCATAGAGAAGAAAACAAAGCAAGGGGCATTATCATCACAAAATCTGCATAATCCAGCACTGAAAGACAATACTAGGAATTCACCAGCACTATGAAAGAGATCTAATGCTGAAATCAAGAAATGGCAATAATGATAACAATGCAAATAAAATGGAAATGTAAACAGCATATAGAAACTTGTCTTTCCATAAGTTAGGCTGCTTTTGTACACTGGTTCATTTATTATTCATTTCAGTATGAAACACAGTTCACTGGACAAAGGCAAGGAAGATTTCTTTAATAACTCTCAGTACTAATTTAATTCTACTTAAACACACATATTCTAGTGAATGCCACATGCTTTTCAGCATGATTGTATGTGTAAATCAGGATAATATGTTTTCAGATCATTAAGTAAAAGGAAGCATGAACTAAAACCTATTTAATCAATGAGGTATCACCTTTAAACTGCTACAAGGTCATAAAAAAGATAATTTCAAAGCTATAAGTTTCCTAATTGTAATCAACAACAATCTAATGATGAAAGAAAGTATGTGCTAACAGCTGTAATAAACGGAAGCAAATGTCTGTGTTTTTAAAGACATTTTGCATCCTCTCTTGGTAAAGTGCTTTTCCCAAATTTCGGGTTTTTGAGTACCTAAAATGAATGAGTGCATTTGGTCCAGAGAGTGTTGGCCTGGAAATGACGCAGGTAAGCATCCACAAAGTGCAGATGAAGAAAGCCTCGGTAAGCAGTTTCCTTCAGTTCTACTACTGTTGTTCTTAAGCGCCGTTGAGTCGGTTCCAACTCATAGCAACCCTATGTAGGGTTTCCAAGGAGCAACTGATGAGCCTGAACCGCAGATGTTACGGTTCAAACTGACTTTGCAGTCCAATACAATAAACCAAAGTACCACACCAGAACTCCAGTTCTGCTATATCACCACACACAAAAATGTAGTTTAGCTTCTTCTTGTTTGTATAATAGTAACCATTCTGTTGTTGTTCTAAGTGCCATCAATTCAGTTCCAACTCATGGAGATGCTGTATAGGGTTTCTGAGAAGTGGCTGGTGGGTTTGAGCAGCTGATCATGTGGTTCACAGTCCAGTGCTTATCCTATACTGCCACACCAGGTATCCAATTAACCCTACTACTACTGACAAATGTATTTACAGTGTATATTCAGTTAGTAGTAGGAGTTAGCTGCTTTTGAACAGTGTCTATCTATGTATGTATCCATATCTAACCAGTCTACAAGGAATACATTCCAACTCATGGCAACTGCATGTCTGTCGAAGAAGAACTGTGCTGCTCAGTGTTTTCAATGGCTAATTTTTCAGACCAGATCACCAGGCTTTTCTCCAAGGTTCCTCTGGATATACTCAAACTACCAATCTTTCAGTCTTTAGGTTAATTTACTCCACTCTGAAACTAAAGAAACTAACTAACTTTCTTCTTTTTTTCTCTGGGATATATGTATGATTTTTGCTGTGAAGTACCATTGAGTTGTTTCTGCTTCATAATGACTCTGTATGGGTTTCCAAGATGCTGCTGGTGAATTTAAACCACCAATCTTACAGGCAAATGCTTTACATCACAAAACCACAAGGTTGGTTTGAATGGCCAGGTAGGTGGTTCAAAGCCATCAGGTGCTCCTCAGAAACAACAACAACAACACACACACACACACATATATACACTTTGTTGCTGCTAAGTGCTGCCAAGTCAGTTCTGGCTCTTAGTGACCATGTACAGTGTTTCTGAGGAGCAGCTCGTGGGTTTCAACTTCCTACCTTGCAGTTCAAATCAACTTTGTAGTCTAGTGCCTATCCTACAGCGCCACACCAGGACTCCATATAAATTATTAGAACATACTTTATTGAATACATGAATAACGATTACATTGACTATCCTATGGATGTTATCCAAATCAAAAACTATCTAAATCTGTATAAATGCTATAATATGATATCACTAATTGAATATTCCATATGTCTTATAAGAAAGTATTACTATGCAACTTAAAATCTCGATTAAAGTGGTGGTGGTGATTATGGGCCGTGGAGTCAGTTCCTGCTCATAGCGACACTGTATGGGGTTTCTGAAGCTGTAAATCTTTATGGGTATAGAAAGCCTTAACTTTCTCCTGTGGAATGGCTGGTAGTTTCAAACTGCTGACCTTGAGGTTAGCAGCCTGACTCATAACCACTATGCAACAGAACTCTTCAAAGGGTTATATATATAAACATGTAAAGTCATCAGTATTTTCTATCCTTACCAGCATTCAGTATTTAGAGTAAAAATGAGTATGTAAATAGTCAAGGTTTTGTGTGTGGGTTTTTGGGGTTTTTTTGTATCTTTAAAAAAAAAAAAAAAATCTCAGTTCTTAAATAAGCACTTATGAGGAGGAAGTATTGCTACTAGAGTTCTAGTTCATACATGCATGGGCTTCCTCCAAACAATATGTATTTAAACATGTTTCTGTGATCACCAGATAACTGCAGACAAATTTTCATAGCAATACACTCATCTTAAACTCATTAGGGTGCCTTCCAAAAAGGTCTAATCCACAAAAGTGGCTTTCCCGGGAATCAGCTGGATCCATTTAATTCAAGGCAACAAGGCCAGCTAGGAAGGTTATGACAAGTGTGTTTTTGGAATTCTAAAAGGGTAATCTATAAGATTTTCTTGAAAGGACACAGGAAGATCATTGGAGCTTATTAGGCAGAAGTTTTTTTAAAACCTGAAAACTGCATTGGTAATAAAAAGGCCAGAAAAGCTCTGTCGAAGAAATACTTTTTTCCATCATGACAATGTGCCTGCTCCTTCTTCAAGGGTAGCAAGAATTTCATTGGGAAATCTTATGCATCCACCCTATAACTCTAATTTGCCACTTCAGACTTGTTTTTTGTTCCCCAAACTAAAATGACATTTAAAAGTAACATAATTTGAGTTCCTTGAGGCTAACAAAATGGCCAGTTTGATTCAAGGAGCACAGAATTCTTTGGGGAAGGGGTGTTGTTGTTAAGTTCCGTCAAGTCAGTTCCGACACACAGTGACCTTGTATAGGGTTTCTGAGGAGTGGCGAGTGTCATCGAACTGGTGACAATGCAGTTTAAATGAACTTGCAGTCCAGCACATTAACCCACAGCATCACACCAGAACTCTTTGGAGAAGGGTTAGAGAGATGGAAACATGACCTTCAGAGTGTATACACCTACACAGAAGATACGTTGAAAAACATATTAATATTTTTGATTCACATAGCTTCACATTTTGATATTTTTGTTTAATAAGGGTTTATAGCTTTTTAGTAACACTTTTGACTTGCCCCCATATCTAAATTCAGCTCCTCTCCTTTTATTGGTTCATGATATATGATGCTTCCTGAATTAATCGACCACAGATGTCTCTTTCAACAATTTTTTCTTCAACAATGTGATTTCTGATATTAGGGTTTCAAGTGTTTTAGTAAACATCCATTCAGTAATTCTTATAATGTAATAAAAGTTTTTTTTATATAAAGTACAAGCAATTGTGAATATTCTCTTTGGGGATGTGTGGACATCCCATACAAACTGCAGAGTAATTATTATATTTCTCAAGTGATGAGGTACTTGATCTTGTGCCTAGAGGAACAGGGACTTTCTCCAAGCCTGAAGATTCTCCCTAATCCTGTGTGAGCAGGATGGTAACTAGCATTCTCGCTATTTCAGAATAGAGGCTGGGACACAGGGCAAACATTCCCTTCAGTCTTTTCAGAAAGCATACATTCCTAAACACTCAAAGGAGAGTCAGGCTCTTACTATCTAGAGACGTGCTTGCCATTCAAAGGCCATAACACCAAAGTAATGTTGATTATACATGAAAAAAATGGTGATTTGTATACCTTGTTACTGCTTCATAGAAATATTTAAAAGAAAAAATATCTTGGCTGTATTACATTTCATGTATAATAGTGACTTTTGTGAACTATATCATGAGGGCATGTTATTTAAAGGTATTTTTCTAATGGAAATAGAGCTTTCCTGTTTTATATATTACCTGCCCAATACTGTTTTTTTGGCCAAGTACAAAGGCTTAGGAGTTTTGGTGTGGCACTGTGGGTTAATGTGCTGGACTGCAAGGTCAATTTGAACCACAAGGTTTGGCAGTTCAAGCTCACCAGCCACTCCTTGGAAACCCTATACAGGATCGCTATGGGTAGGAACCAACTGAATGATACTTAACAAGAACAACAACAGGAAGACTTGGATGTATATCTATGCTAACTATTCAACAAGCCAAGAATGAAAACCAATGCAATTGAAAATTAAAGCTAAATTTGCAAATATGAATGTTTGAATCTAAGTGAAGTCACAAAACAAAATGGGTTATCCAGTCTTCATAACATGCAAAATGTATGATATTTGTAAGTGTACATATACATATGATACATGTAGAAACAGCCATAAAATAAGCACAATGTAATACAAAAACATTCTGGATAAATCAATAAAAGATTATCAGAATAAGGATATTGACAATGGAGCAACAATAAAACAAGTGATAGTAATAAAACAATCAGAAATAAAATTGATCTTCTAAGAGATATACATATCTATCTATCTATCTATCTATCTATCTATCTATCTATCTATCTGTCTGTCTGTCTGTCTGTCTGTCTGTCTGTCTGTCTATCTATCTTTCTATTTATATAGATAGATAGATAGATAGATAGATAGATAGATAGATAGACAGACAGATAGATAGATAGATAGACAGACAGACAGACAGACAGACAGACAGACAGACAGATAGATAGATAGACAGACAGACAGACAGATAGATAGATAGATAGATAGATAGATAGATAGATAGATAGACAGACAGACAGACAGATAGATAGATAGATAGATAGATAGATAGATAGATAGATAGATAATGAATGCTCAATAGAGTTTGTTGTAGGCCATTTATATAAAATTAGATTACAATATTTTTCATAGGCTTACCTCCTGGAGGCATTGTAATCACTATAGGATCACTTGTCAAACTGCCTTGGGTGTTTGAAACATTCACTTGTACAGAATAGTTAGTGAAGGGAATCAATCCATTGACAAGCACCCAGTAGTTGGTACTCTCACTGCTGTACATGATTTGTGTTCCATTCAAAATGGTGTAGTTATTATCTGTTAATTTTTAAAAAAGGGGTATTATAATTATGTTACAATTATGTTTATTTAATAATTATTTTTTGTTATTGTTCAACTATTTTTTTGGCTTCCAAAATACCCCATGCAACAGACAAGCATAAAATCACCATACTAAGAGGTACTGCATGATCTGCCATCAGTATGTATATTTTTATTTTATTCTTTTGTGAGCAGAATGTGAACTGGGTTAACATTATGTTCTCCAATTTGTTAGCCATGTGGTCAATAAGACTGGACAAATATTATAAAGTATTATAAAACAATATTAAAAATATCATACCTATATCACGGAGCTTTGGTAGCGTAATGATTATATGTTGGGCTACTAACCTCATGGTCAGCAGTCTGAAACTACCAGTTGCTCCATGGGAGAAAGATGAGGCGTTCCGCTCCCGTAAAGATTTACAGCCTCAGAAACGCTATACAGGGTAGCCATGACTTGGAACCGACTCCACAGCACACAGCCACAACAACGTATCATAAGTTAAAATGCAAATTTACACAGTCATATAAATTGATGACTTGAAGAGTTGTTTTTAAAATTTTAAAACCTTTATAAATACCAATATTTATTTTTAAAAGCTTTCATCCCTTTCCCCAAAAATGCTTTATTATATGTATATTTAACTTTCCCAAGCGAATTCTGCAAAGACCCGCAAACCAACAAAAAACACAAATGATATCTAACTTGAAGGAGAAGCACAAGGATATTTATAGGATTTTCAGATATAATATAATTTTTATTGATTAAATGTTTAAAAACTAAAAGATAACCACATACTGAAAATTACCTTGCATTGTATAGCAAAATTATTTATAGTTACAGTACTTAAAAAAATACTCTATCTTAACACAGTTTAGTAAGCTGTGTATGGTACAAAGGAAAGTAGATAAATTTGGCTGTCAGTAAATTCTGCATTTGAACATCTTTTCATTTTTGAATGCCATGCTCTTCACTAACTTACTTAGTATTTCTGTATCTTGGGTTCCTTCTGTAACAACTGGCAATGCAATTTAAAATTAGATCATTTATTTATAATAAAAAACAAAAGAGAAAAAATAAATCCATTGCCATAGAATAAATTCTGACTAATAGTGACCTTGTATACGGTTTCCAAGAGTGTAAAATTTTATGTGAATAAAGAGTCTCATCTCTCTCCCATGGAGCAGCTGGTAGGTTTGAACTGACAACCTTGTGCCTAGCAGCTCAATGCCTAACCCATAGCACTCCTACTCAGCACATAACAGCTATTCAAAACCAGCAGATAGGAATGTGCTGCTTTTTTATTATAGTCCATACAAATGATAGACAAATATCTAGAATAAAATGTATGGTACTGTAGGATAAGAATAGTATGGTACTCTAGGATAAGCACTTGATTGCTAACCACAATGTTGGTGGTACAAACCCACCAGCCTCTCCTCAGAAATCCTAGACAGGGTCACTATGAATCAGAAGCAATTTGATGGCACTTACCAACAGTAACTATAGCAAGTGATTCAGAATTATTCAATTTGTACTTTACTTTCTCAAAAGCAACTACCTACCTCTTACATCATGCCTCATCTCACAAAAATTTATTAATCAAAATTCTTTTTAAGTTATTATTAAGAAAATCACATTAACTCAGTCCTCTACCAGCATCCTATTGTTTAATAGGCTATACCTCAAACTCTAAAATCAATAAAGATCAAATTATGCACAACATGGTCTGACATCTAGTTATGATATAACCATTTTAATCAAATGTGGGTCAAGCAGATAAAAACTGTAAGAAAAAGTTATAATTGTTTTGGGAGTGATGAATCAGCCGAACAGTTTGCTGCTGCAAAATACTCAGGTATATTTCTTATGTTTAGAAAACAAGACCACTCTTTTCATAAAAGAATTGATTACTCTGCACTTGAAATTAGCAGTAAGAAACTTCACATCCAAAGGAATGATGGGTTTTAGAGGAACATACAGGAGTAAATAGTACTTGTGAGCTAAAAAACAACATAGGATCATTTCAATTCATTTTCAAACAAAACCAGATAAAGACACACTCACAGTTCAATGAATGATTTCAAGGTCCTAAAATAAAAGTGGAGAATGCACCAATACGTATGTTAAGTCTCATATTGGCAAGAAGTCTGGGGTCCACAAAGCAGTCTTTGATCATTTCACTATGCATGCTGTTGTGTAATGTCGAGTAGGTTTTGACTCATAATGACCATGTATAGGGCTTCCGAGGAGCTGCTGGTAAGCATGAACTGATGACCCTGCAGTTCAAACCAATTTTACAGTCTAGTGCATTAACCCACAGTGCCATACCAGAACTACGCATAGAAAAGATATTTTCAAATTAAGATTCTAACTAGGTCAACTTGATTCAACCAGAGATTATTGAGTCTCATTGAAAACACATTGTTATAGGTTGATGACATTTCCAAAATGAACAAAACATATAGTTCCTGCAATCAAGGATACGATTAAATAGGAACACCTAGATAAGATTAACTATGAGTACCTTTTAATCATTGACTAAGAACAAGTGTATTATTGTATCCAAAGAGCTCAAGTTCCCATGGTTTCTAGCTCCTTGGAGCACTTCTGGTTCTAGCTTAAATATCTGCTACTATTGTCACATGTCTACTAAAATTTCAAAAGGGTCAGCTTATCTTCTATCAATCTAGGCAGATACTCAAAGGCCTCAAAAGTGGAATCAAGCAGCACTTCTTACAAAAAATAGAAAAGTTAAGAAACTAATGCAAATTCTAAAAGGTAAAGCCATACTGTATAACTTTATAAATTACAAATGTAAGATTAACAAACACCTATGATTATTGGATTGGTATGATTCCTGCTCTTGCATTTTGTTTGCTTGTTTTGGAAGCAAATTTCAGTTGTAAAAACAAGCACTATTGCTAGCTTTGAAAATGGCATGGCAGCAGGAAATGTATTAAGTACCTCTTTATTCTAAGTTTCGCAGATAACAACATTAATACATGGTAATTATACAATTAGTTGTAACATTAAGTTCTAGTTATAGAACAATGATTACTCAGTAATTATAAGAAGTATGTAATTACTCAATAATTATGAGAAGTATGCAATTACATAACCATTTTGCTCAGTTCAAAAAAGAACTTGTACATCTCCAGGAGACACGCATCCAAGTGAGTCTAATGTTCTCTCACCTCCACTAACATACAGTTCAATTCACAGGACTACAGCAACTGACAGGACTGCAAACCTCAGTGAGGCTCAGATAGCTCCAGATTCTAAACCAAAGCAGGATCTACTGATTTCTGCTCTTACCCTCACTTCATTCTCCCTTTCTTCTTTGAAACTTTACCAATTTGGGCTCTTAGAAATTCGTGATCAGTCTTTAAAATGCAAATCCTTGAATTCCACTCTCTTGAGATGGTTGTGCTTTACTACTTTTCATTGCATAAACTTTGTTTTCAATGGGCTGGAAAATGCAGCTCTGATGGTTCTGCCCCAAGAATCAAGTTAGAAATGCTGAACTGATAAGCATTTCCTATCACTGGTGACCATTCCTCTCTGGCCAGCCTTATTCTGCCCTGATGATTTGTGAGTATAAATGGATGGAGCAGGTCCATTTGAGTGTCTTTGTTCTGGAACCATGACCTCTCTTACCAACAGGGATGGTGAGTTTTAATCTGGGTTCCTCTCATCTACCCCCTCTCTATGGTCTTTAACTGAGTGTTTCAATGGACTCTTTGCAAAACGGGCTTGTCTATGCCAGTGTCCCATCAAAAATCACTGGGAGACCTTCAGAAGCCTTTACATACCCAAGTTCCATCCCAGGCCTAGTGAATGAAAAATATCAATGGGTAGGGCACAGGAATCAATGGTTGATATTTCGTAAGATGCTTAAATTTGAAAATTATTGATTTGAGTATTATTTATCTAATATTCAGGCTGGTGTTAATGGAATGAGCAAAATTTTCTTCTGTTTTCAAATATAATTTGATCACTTTTGTCATCCTTATTAATGATGCCCTTACATTCTAGCTTTGAGCTATAAAATGTTGACTCTCTTAGTGAACTACTTTAGCTATAGAAAGTGTGGAGTTAGCATTGAAACCAGATCCATCTTCCAGCATCAAAAATTCTAATATGGTGTAGCTTTATAATAAAATTTAAAATGTACAATAAAGCAAAATTTAAATGAGTAATCATTATTGCAGATCTGAGGGAAAAAACAACTTCAGGATTTTTGTATTTAAGTATTTCTTTCTCTCCCTGTTTCTGTCTTTCTCTTTTTTTCCACTGAGGACTCAGGGGTAAGATTCATTGTATATTCACCAATATTACAAGGAAAACCAAGTTTTGTAATAAATCAATGAGCATTTTAAAAAAACTAGTTGCTATTTCAGGATATTGAAGATTCCAAAGGTTCTTCAAAGAAACTAGTTTATTCATCACTACTTCTGCTTTTATTTTGAATATTTTATTTTGTTTTGAAAAGATGAAACAATCAAAACAGAACTCATATTAACCAATGTATATTATAGATAAATAAAATTACCTTCTTCAAATACAAAGTCCAACTAAAATGTTAACATCAGTGCTTGATGTCAAAGATGAGAATCTTATTTTCATTGTTCTAACATGTTGAGTAATAAGATACTTTCTACCCAATTTTTTAACACATCAAGTACCATTATAAATAGATGTTTTCACATGCGTGACTCAGGGATACATACATGATCACCCAGGAATACCATCCTATGGGGCTATCTAGATTGAAATAACATAAATGGGCATTCTTTCCCATTCTTATTATAATCATTGTCACAAGAATTTTAATGCACCATATATTCCATAATTTTTTTTTCCCTCTGTGCTGTACAGCTCTGACCTTTTCAATATTCTATAATTTGACTGGCTAGCCATTTCAGTTCTCTCCATTTTACAGCCTTATTAACTTGTAGGAAAGAAGTGAAATGAACAACCAATCAGAATA